ATATATATATATATATATATATATATGCATGGACTTGCAATAATTTTAAGAAGGCTTTCACACTGATTTGATAACAAAACCCCAGAACATTCAGATTTAAAAACTTGCTGGGATTTCTTCTCTGTATACTTCTTTTGTTTGGGAGATTTATAGTGAGTATTGGTTACTGGGATGAATGTTTGATTCCAGCTGCTCTGCAGTCAAAGGGGGGGTTACAGCTTTACAGTTCAGGGTTTGCAGCTTTACAGTTCAAGGGGAGTTGCAAAATCTCCAGCACTTGCATGAGGCCTGGAAGAGAACGATCAGGTTAAAAATAACTTCAAGGAGTTTCTCAAGTCATAGTTACGTGTGTATTTATGGTTACTGATTATTGTGGTGCTCAAATGATACTTGCAACAAATACTTAGTACACCTTGTGTTAAATAGACCATGTTAAATAGTCCAGACCGTGACAGCAGTAAAAGATGGTTTCAGGTTTTTTATCCTAGCTGAGCTGTTGTCATTCAGGCATACTGTGCATAGCATGGAAGATCAGTTTCCCCTTTTATTTTGTATGTATCCTGCTGTTTCAGCAGGTTAAAATGAGCTGATCACTAAGATGATTTTAAAAGACTTGTAAGTAAGGAAGCTCTCATTCATTTTGTTTCTCTCTCCTTCAGATTTCCGATTGCTTATGTAGAAACTAGGTTTCTCCTTCTTCTTGCTAATCAGTGAACACATGTAATACTGCGATACTTTTTACATTGATCCTAGAAGCTGGCATCTTCCTTCTGTGCCTCAGGAGGAGGAGAGGATGTCTTCATATGTTCCATGCTTTTCTTAGCAATGCTTTTACTGATACATTTAAAATACTGGAAAAAACCAGTTGTATTCCTATTCTGCTGTTAGAATTTTACCTTTGAGTAATGGAAGTATTCAACTCCCAGCTATCCATTTAAATAAACTCTCTTACTGGCACATAGAAAGCACAGAGTTTATTACCTTGAATTTGCATATGCCTTTCCAGACTTCAGGACAAGTTTACCAGGTCAGAACTGGAGCAAATCAGACACTCAAGGCTGTCATATTTGAGGGGTTTTTGTAATTACAACCAGGGGAGGTTCAGGCTGGATATTGGGAAGAATGTCTTTACTGAGAGGGTTGTCAGGCATTGGAACAGCCTGCCCAGGGAGGTGGTGGAGTCACCGTCCCTGGAGGTGTTTAAGAGACGGGTAGATGTCGTACTTAGGGACATAGTTTAGTGGTGTTGGTAGAGCTAGGACAAAGGTTGGACTCGGTGATCTTGAAGGTCTCTTCCAACCAAAACTGTTCTATGATTCTAATATTAACCAATTAGGAAAAGAGAATGCCTGGCAGTAAAGACAGCAGAGTAGATATTTATGCTATAGACTCACTAATGTTTTTAAGATCTCTTGTAACTAGTAGTGGTAAGTAAAATAGTTTGAAGTTCTTTTGCTTAGTGGCTTGCTAGTTTTACCTTTTTGTTTTTTCTCTGTGTCATATTTTGATCCTGTTTAACGTCATTTTTGTAGATTTTATTTAATGTAGCTATTATTGCTGACAGGTAGTAGGAACTAAATGCTGGCAAGGAGAGTTTGACATTTTGGGGTTTTTGTTTTGTTTTGGTTTGTGGTTTTTTGGTTTTTTTTTTTTTTTTTTCAGGTTCCTTATAGGTTGCATGCCGTGCTAGTTCATGAAGGTCAAGCTAATGCAGGACACTACTGGGCATATATTTATGACCACCACCAGAACAGATGGATGAAATACAATGATATTTCTGTGACAAAATCAACTTGGGAAGAGTTGGAACGGGACTCTTTTGGTGGTTACTTTTTTTTTGAATGCCAGTGCATATTGTTTAATGTATATCAATGATAAGGAACAATACTTGATACAAGGTAATTGTATGGGTATATTTTCTGCATGTTATAGAATATCTGAATATATTGATAAAGTGAGATCCATCTTTCAGGTGGATTTCAAGATTTTTTAACTGATTTTAATAATTATCGAAGGTTCTATTTATGCTCGTAACTGTTAGAGTGTTCTTCTGGGTGGAATAATCGCTCTTCAACTTTCAGGTTAATAAAGATAATGCCAGCGTTTCAGCATTATTAAGAATGCAAAATAATCGAAGTTTCCCCATTCGTAAACATTTTAGCCAGGTGATTGCATGTTCAGAATTTTGGAGATGTTATGTCACTGACGATTAGAACGGAAATATGGAAATACAGAAATGAGCCTCTTGACGTTAAAGTCCTCGTGTAGCTTTTTTTCATAAGCTTCAGAAATCTGATGAACTTTGGTGAAGCATGGAACCTTGAAGCTTTATGCAGTATATTGAAATGTGAATAACTTAGCCATACCAACCATACATTAAACCAAAGTAATACATGGATTTGGGAAAATTTTTTTCAGATCGTGTAGGATTATGTAACTATAAGGCTTGTATGAAGTGTTTGGAGAGAGGGCAAAGATCCCTTAGCATGAGTTTTGTGAGGCCTGACAGTGGCAGCTAGGGAGCTGACTCTGAAAATGGCCAGAAATTCGATAACAGGTGGTAGAAAATTTTCACGCTCCTGTCTTTTCATAGGGCAGAAAGCTAGAGTGTGCTTTTGTTTCGTTTTTAAATAAGAACTGATATTAACCTTGATATTTCTAGACGGCCAGATGAGTAGTGGACTTGCACCCATAGGGTTTACGGGCCCTGTAGGGTGGCTGTGCCACACTCAGTCTGAGGACTGCTGTTTGGGGGATAGTTACAGCGAATCGATCACCTAGGATCTGGGGTGCTCTTGCAGAGACCATTCTCGAAGCAAAAAGCAAGGTTACTCAGTGTAGCTGGTGTTCTTACCAGTTGACTTTCCAAATCCCTGTAGGCCTACTCTCCTTCCCCTTTTCTGCTGGGAAGTCGAGTTGTGTCCAGCTCTGTCTGGCAGTAATGGAGTTAAGTTATGGTGGGGGATTTTTGTGACTTCTTTTTCTGAATGCTCACAATCAAGGGCACTTATGGCCTGAAAGGCTCATCTTTCAAAATGGCAATGATCTGATGGTGCCCAAGAACACATAATCCAAAGATCACAAGAGCAGTAGCCATATGTCTCAATAGCAGAGGACTGCACAACAGATAATAAAACCGGTTAAAAGTAATAGATTTTGGGGTTTTGGTGCTGTACTGTATGTTTCCAGTAATTCCCTTGGGGAAATTCGTTGAACATGCTTTCTTTTCCCCTACTCTTTCTTTTTCTGAAATTTATATTTCATGTTACCACAGAGGAATTTAACAAAGAAACAGGACAGGTCCTTGTTGGAATGGACACGCTACCTTCTGATCTAAGGGATTACGTCAAGGAAGATAATAAACGTTTTGAAAAAGAACTTGAAGATTGGGATGCAGAACTTGCTCAGAAAGCACAGCAGGAGAAGTTGTTATCTCAGATACCAAGGGCACCAGCACCCTCACCTGCTCCAGGTTAGCTTTTTCTACCTGTTTATAAAAGGAGTGGAACCAAAACCGTGTGTTTGTATATATTGTTTTGCAGCTTAAGAAAGGAAGAAAATGTTAATTTGTGTAATCTTGATTTATAACTACTTACTTGGCCAAGGTAACTCTACTTGAAGTTTGGTCTGTTGGGGTTTTTTTGCATTTTATTTTTATTTTTAAAAAAATAATTATTTATTGGTTCTGCCTTTTCCCTCCCAGTTGCGCTTAGCTTTTAATATTTTTTTTTTTCCTGTAGAAACTTTGGCCTTTTAAGATAGGTAATTATTAACAGGTCTCACCAGTCTGTTTTGAGAATTTATTACAGAATCACAGAATGGCAGGGGTTGGAAGGGACCTCTGGAGATGACCTAGTCCAACCCCTCTGCTAAAGCAGGTTCACCCAGGCAGGTTACACAGGATCACATCCAGGTGGGTTTTGAATATCTCCAGAGAAGGAGACTCCACAGCCTCCCTGGGCAGCCTGTTCCAGTGCTCTGTCACCCTCACAGTGAAGAAGTTTTTCCTCATGTTGAGCTGGAACTTCCTGTGCTCCAGTTTGTGCCCGTTGCCCCTTGTCCTGTCACTGGGCACCACTGAAAAGAGCCTGGCCCCATCCTCTTGACACCCGCCCTTTAGATATTGATAAGTGTTGATAAGGTCCCCTCTCAGTCTTCTCCAGGCTAAAGAGCCCCAGATCTCTCAGCCTTTCCTCATAGAAGAGATGCTCCAGCCCCCTCATCATCTTTGTAGCCCTCCACTGGATTCTCTCCAGTAGCTCCCTGTCCCTCTTGAATGAAGGGGGGACCCAGAACTGAACTCAGTGCTCCAGGTGTGGCCTCACCAGAGCAGAGTAGAGAGGGAGAATAACCTCTCTCGACCTGCTGGTCACACTCCTCTTAATGCACCCCAGGATACCATTAGCTTTCTTGGCCACAAAGGCCATGTCTGGCTCAAATCCACCCATAAGTGATGTATATTATTCTCTTCAGAGTGATTGAGTAGAAGACCTACCTTCTCATTTTAAATTAGGGCAGAAATATATCTGAAGAGTAATTTATTTGGTGTGAGGTATTGAATAGAGTTAGCAAGACTTAGCAATAGTAAGGCCCACTTAAGAAATTACTGTGTAAAAACAAGGGTGTTAAAACTGTGGAAAAGGCTCTGAACAGCAACAGTGAGGCCAATGCTGTTAGGAACCTTGCTAAGGAAGACCACTGACAATCTGACTATAAAACATATGCCTGCTTTGACACAGAAGAACCTGTCCGGTTTTAGGTTACATCCACCTTTTGCTCCATTGTAGAAAGCTCTATGTACATTATGTGAAAGATGACATGATGGATTTGTGTAGTGAGACTGCTGTCCAGGTGTTCTCACTGTTGTATGTGAGTCATTAAGACTGAGCATATATTTCTCATACCTATTTATGACTACAAACTCAATGCAAAAAGTGCAGTGATTTAATGACATTTCTCTTTTTGTGGACTCTATGGAGAGTGACTTCATCTTCTGTGTGTTTTGACTTCACAAACACTTTGAGATTGGTCTTAGTTCTTCTGTTAGTAATGGAAGGTACCAAATGAATGTTTTATTTGTCTGCCAAAATGTACTTTCATCATGTGAGGAATATGAGACGCTATATATGCTAATCAATTTTATTGCCCTCAAGTGGGGGGAGACTTTGAGATTTCCCTTAAGTCAGAAGAATGTAATGTGGTGATTATTTTGCGAAGTGAAAATACATCTGGCACTCAAGTGGCTGTAGGCCATTCCGTATATTGGGTCTGTATCTCCCAGAAAGTCCAAGTAGAATCTCATCTTTGTTATCAATCATCCCCTGTATGATTGATGAATGCCTCACTCAAAAGCCTTAATGGGTTTATAAACAGGACAGGTCTGTTGTTCATCATATAAAATAGTGGGTCCATTTATATGGAAGTGCTCAAAATTACCTGAGACACAGACTGATGTAAAGTTGTGTTTGTGAATGGTGTACACATTAGTGTGCGTTTTCTGTGTGGGTTACCTTATCTATGAGACAGTGATCCAAATAAAACTAATCAATTCAAAGTTTATGCTTATGTTAACACTCAAAATTGTTATCTCATTTCTGTTGCTAAGTTCAAGCAGGAGAACCAGAGTATTTAGAGCAGCCATCAAGAACTGATATTTCAAAGCACTTAAAAGAAGATTCTGTACAAGCAATCAATAAAGCTTTAGCTGAACAAGAAGATAGAGGTGCAGAAGCTATAATGGATACGGTGAGGATATTTTGAAGCTTGAAATACTTCTTTTGCTTTTATTTTGCAAGTGGGAATGATATAATAGCTGATAAAAGGGGGTCTGTGTGGAAACTTTGAACTGAAAATTGGTGTTTCTTCAGGGACTGTCCAACAGTGAAGTCCATCCAGAAAGTGTGTGCTACAGTAATGGGTATAGTAGAAGAAAAATACTAAGACAGATGTCCTCTGTATGGTTAAAGTTCTTGTCAGGAATAGAGCGTATTGTTCAAATGACGATGATGTGTTTGTGCCCACTATCTTTTCAAAATATTAGATGGTTCTATGTATTTTTGAGTAAACATTGACTTTCCGTGTAAAGACTTAAAAATACTGCTTTAAACATTCAGGTTTTTATCTGAGAAATGTAAGATTAGTAAGATTATAATTGAATTCCCTTGAAAGACCTATGGATTTAAAAGTAGCTTTCAAAAATAAGGAGTTCTTCAACAGTATTCTGTAGCTTTAATGCAAATTCACAGCTTGACGAAAATTATTTTTTGTGATTCATCAGATGCATTTATTAATTTGAAATGGTTATAAGAATTAGTGTTGGGGGATTCTGTTTTCACTTCGTACACAAATACTAAAAAGAATTGGAAATTAACTACTTCGTGAGTTATTAATGAAACTAATATTTAACAGTTTTTTTCTTTCAGCAAATGTTTTGTTGCTTCCATGTAAGTATATAGATAAATGATCAATATATTTGCCACAAAAGGAAGTGCCTTTAAAGCAATACATGCATCTGTCTTGGAACCATATCTGTAAGGATAAAATATATGAAATGTATAGCTTGCTTAGGCACCCCTAGTAACCAACAGAGATGATACTTTAGATCTATGCAAAATTTAAAGCATGCTTCCTCAGTTCAGGTATGAACCCTCATTAAAGAAGAGCAGTGTAGCCCCAGGTATCTTTGGGGCCACAGGAAAGTCCTCTTAAAGCCTTTGAAAATGACATGACAACAACTTTTTCACTCTTAGACCTGATGTGTTTTCAATCCCCCTCTCCTGTGGTGTCAGGAGAGCAGAGAAGCATGCTTTCTCTGCTAAACTGAAATCAAAGCCAACAGGGAAACTAATCTAACCCTGGTTGAAAGATGCTCTACCACTAATGCTTCAGGCTACAGCATATCTGACTGTTTGAGTTCTCAGAACGCAGAACAGCTTAGAGGGAGCCTGACAAGCTACCTCCAGCTGAAAGTGTAGCTGTGAAGATACCAAAGCCATGATAAAATGTCTTACACGATGTTGTCCTCTTTCTAGGCTCTGTGGGCATCCATCCCAGTGGGATATGGAAGAATCTTACAGACTTGATTTCACAGATCAAGTGTTTTAGTTCAGGCTAATGACACTTTGCATAGTGATCAGCCTTGGGACTATACAAGGCTGTGGTTGAGGAACCATGTGGGGAGCATCATGATAGGCTTAATGAGACAGAGGCAGGTTGTCTTATTCCAATATTTTCACTGCATCGTTCTGCCACAAGGTGGATGGCTCTTTAAAAACAAAACCAAAAAATCCTAAACCTCTTTTATTTAGAAACAAATGTATTTCAGCTGTTAGAATCTACAGCGAATTTCTACCTACTCTGAAGGTACTCTGCTGATGTTTATAAGCTGCTCTCTGCATACCCAAATTTAACTTAGGCAGAGTTGTACTTCCTTCTTGATGTATCGGCATGCTTTTTAATTATTCTACTTCCATATGCATTTTGACGTGCAGGCATATATTCATTTCCTCCACTTCTTGTTTGTCCATTTTAAAAGAAGGAAAGCCAACATCAGTACATATAACAAACAGGATTGTGGGTTAGACACCACATGATCATTTGTGTCCATTTTCTGCCCTTTTGTCTTTTTTTTTTTTTTTTCCTGCCCTCTGATTGCACAGTCTTCCTTTGTATTTATACAGTGCTGGGTGTAAATAGATACTATGTGTGTTTCTGGAATCATTTAAAAAATGAGGCTATTGTAATAATTGCAGAGCAATTAGCATGGTGCTCTGATTGCTTAGATTACAGTCAAGGTTTAAGTTCTGCAAGCGTTGTAAACTGTCTATTATATAAAGACAGACATAGGAACTGAGATTTGTCTCCTGTATTGTTTAAAACTAAGTTTAACATAGCAAGAATTTCAGTGACTAGCACAACCTTCCCCTGATTTTAAGTCTAATAACTCTTCTAAAAAAATATAAACTTGTTGAATGTAATGCACCTTTAAATATTCTTTCAAATATCTTGATTGCCAGAACCTTTATTTGTATATAAATATTTTTTTAATTTTTTTTTTTTCCCTTCAGAGCATCAGGAAATGTTAGCCTTTGGCTTCTTGCCATCCTTTAGTATGAATTGATCAGACACTTCAGACATATTTAGTAGTCTTTTGTGAAGTGTATGAAAAGAAGTGGTGGTTCACAGACTCATCCTTTAACAACTGCCTTAAATTTCTAATGGATGTTAGAGTTGCAATGTTGGCATACTAACCTGTAAAGGTGTAATTAGTGAGTAAAGAAGAAATGAAATCTTTTTAATAATGATGGCTTAATTTTAAAATGTACTGCTTAAAAAATAAAGAAACTGTAAGTGATTAGAGAATATAAGTGATACTTATATTTTTTTTCAGAACTTCAGCAGTGCACATCAGTTTTACTTGATCAGCCTGTCAGTTTGCATCTCTCTGTAATTTTCTGTTTTCTGATTTTATTTTTTTTTCCCCACACATATACTGATAATGGTTTTCTTCTGCAGAGCTCTGATAATGTCCCAGCTCAACCAGCTCCTAACCAGCGAGTTGTAGAGGTGGCGATTCCTGATGTAGGGACTTTTGTGATTGAGTCAGAGGAGGGGGGTTATGACGATGAGGTACATTTGACTGCAGTTGTGTGCACCGCTCCTCGGTGCTTTCTTGTGCTGCCTGATGAGAATTTTTGGCATGTTTGCACATTATGACACCTAACAAATTTCTGCAAAACTAAATGCTTAGCGATTTGTAACCTTAACAGTGTCTTAATTTGTAATGAAATATGAAAGGAAAGCACTAGCTACTCTAATTGGGCACGCTTTGCATGGTACCATTTACACTGGAGGTATATCTGTCTTTTTAGCTGTGGAAGTTGAATGTTTGTGTTAGGCCAGATAGCCTATCACCAGAAATGCTGGTGATAGACTGTGGACTACTACATTATTTAAAAAGCGACTGGGTAGTGAGTGGTGTTCCTAATGTTTGTGCTTTCTTGTCAGTCCAATAAAGCTAATACTCAAGTCCAATCCCTTATTTGCCAAGGTTAAGCTTTTCAGACTTCAAGGATTAAATAACCTGAAACTGATATGGCCGGTGGAGCTGATTCTTCCAAAGCTTAAGAGGAAAAAAACCCCACAAAAATTCTTTTTTCCCAATTCAGACCCAGAGTGGTATGTGTACCTGGTGCTACTTGAGGAACAGACGAGAGGGCCATGTTATCCTCAGTGACATTATTTTCTGCTGCCCTGTTTTTAGCAGCAGAAAGCAATGCTGCCAGGTCATCAAACTGTCCTGCCTTGACGCTGCTTACTCCTTGTTTGTTTTGGTTGGGGATAGCATTGGTGCAGCCCATATTCTCAGGTATCTGAGCACGTGTTCTTGGTGGGCTGTGAGGAGCTTTTGCTTCCCTAGGCAAATGGATATTTCGGGTCATTCTGCCCTGTAATTGTGATTAGTTGTATCTGTGAGTATGGGATGTGGAATACAATGATTGACATCATCACACTGAGTTTAGCTTCTCACAGATGTGTAGTCTCCACCTTTAAAGAAATAAGGATTTAAGGTCACCCTAATGACTTGCTTTTTTGGGTTGTTCCACCCACCCACACTGCTGTCCCCGTGCCGTGTCTTTCTAGAGGATGATAATTTTCTTCCTTATTTCCCTGTTCCTTTTGTAAGTGTATTCACATTTTTTTTAATGTTATTCTTATGTATGGGAAACTCTTCCAGAAGGTTTAGGGTTCTTCATCTTCTGTTGCTATGCCACTGCCTTGGGCAGAGACAGAGGCAGTGTTTTTCTTTGCTCATAGATAACAAAGGGGAAAGGTCCTTCTGAGTAACCTAGATGTATCAAATTGTTTGTATGTAACAGATGTGAATAGCTGTGAGATGTGTGTCTTATGTTTCGCTTTGTGTTTGTTAAATGTTTTGGGTTTGATTTTTTTTTTTTTTAAGAATTTGTCTGCAAATGCTTCAGGGACCCAATTGCATTTGCAGCAATAGGTCCCTTATTTCGATATTGAAATATGCATAAAATACGGGCAGTGTAGTTTACTATGTTTTCAGTATAGTATGTACAAAGTGTGATTGGGTGATTTTTCTACTTGAAACGTTTTTTTCTTTTTAATCCTTTGGCCATGGGTAACACTCATGCAGGAACTGCATACTCATGGATACTAATGCTGAACGATGCATGTTCCTTTCTTGGGAAGTTTTGACCCTGTAACTTTTAAGTTGTGTTTGACACAGTTCTTCAATTTTTTTTTTTTTTTTTTGGTAAGCTTCCTTTAATCATATGTTGTTTCAGTGAAAACATACACACATGCCATGACTGATTTGCAGAATATGCACACCAGATCTGTATTAAAATGTGCCATTTCAATGTATGCATGCATTAAGTTGGTTTTTCTCTTGCATGAGACTAAGAGCATATTGAATTTGGTCATTAAAATATTACTTATTCAAAACTTTTACCTTAAATCCCTTGTGGCAGGTCATGCTGACCCCGAACATGCAAGGTATAATCATGGCTATAGGTAAAGCCAGGAATGTTTATGACAGGTGTGGGCCAGAAGCAGGGTTCTTTAAGGTACAACTAACATTTTCAACTTTTTCTCCTCTGACTTTTCTCGTTAGATATGCCTTCTCCCTCTACCCTTTGATGCATATTAAGAGTGTTCCAGCGTTTATATGTACTCTTCTATGATATCAGTCCTCTATTTAGATATTTCACCCTTGAAAAATAGACAGCTATTTCCCTGTTGATTCAGCAGTACACTGCCTTGATATCAGTAGTTTACATACCTTCCTGCATTTTAGCTTTCTAATAATAGTAGCAAGTAGCATGAAACCTAGATGTGTAATCAGTAAGAATATGGTTGGGGTGTTTTTCCCATTAGTAACCAAACCCATGGCTTTGCTAGACTGTTTGGATCATCAGTTTTTTCATGCAGGGACATCAGTGTTTAGTCTTCTGTTGTTTATTTCAGAGAGCTGTTCTTGTTTTGCACTCCTTAAAAGATTTTTAGTAAATCTAAATTACTTTCTTTTGTGTAACTGCATAGTTGTCAATACTATTTATTTATGCAGTGTTTTATTACTGGGAATTAGACCTTATGCTTTTTGTGGTTATTACTCTTCACAGTGATACCAGATTTAAAAATGTGTTAGTCTTCTTAACTAAACAAACTTCTGAGCATTTTTAGCTCATGATATTTTGAATTTTCAGGATATTAGAAAGGGAATTACTTTGACATGATGTAAAATCCTCTCAAATGTCATTTGGAGAGGGGGAAGAAGTTTCTTGCTTCTTGTTGAGTAGCTGTCTGTTTTCTTCTTAATTGTGTCGTGTAGTTGCATTAGAAGAAATTGTAAAAACCAAAAGAAACAAAAAAAAACCCAAACAACCAACAACCAAAAAACCAAACCCCCCCCCCCCCCCCCCCCTATTCTCTAACCCCTTGCTAAGGAAATTGGAATCTCATGGGTTGGTTTGTTCATTTGTCTGTTTCTGTGGGTTTTTGTAATGGATACTTAGAGAAGTGTTACGACCATAACACTTCTTTGCAGGGCTGTCTCTGTTAACTGTGCCTGCCCTCGGGGAATGGAGAGACACCTGCCGTAGCCTCTGTCTAGTGAAATAGGTTTTGTTTGCGATTCAGTGCTGGGGTTGTTTTTTAAAAAAATTATTACTTAATGAAAGGATGTTAATCTCCTTAGTTTTTTTTTTACGTTGAAAAAAAATCCTCCTTTGATTAAATCAAATTCTAACAGAAAGTTTAATTACATCTAATTATTTTTTTAAGTTGAAGGGTGCTTTGATAATTTTAAAACAGAAATGCAGTTCAAAAGAAAATTATGTTTAGTGCTTCAGAGTTACCCAAACAGTGCTCAGTAGAAATGTTTTTTGGTCCTAAATTTTGAATGCTTAAACATTTCACGGGGGACAGAATTTTTCTTTGAGTGAGAAAATGTTCTGACACTAAATTGTTGGAGAGTGGAAGTTTCCGTACTCATTTTCTGCTGAATCATGTTTGCAATAACTTAGAAGAGTTGAATGTGCTTCATTTTAGAGGAATACATTAGTATGAGTGTATGCAGATGAAGTAGTCCTTCTTAGTAACAAAATTTGTATTTTGAAATGTATCAGATAAAATCTCATGTTACTCCTTCAACTTATTGTAAAAGTTTCTCTGATATTTTTTAATACTGCTATACTCTTGGGTTTCTTCATGTGTTTGTTTTTTATAAAATGAACGTTTACTGAAAATTGGGTGGTTGGGGGTTTTTTTATGACGTCTTTGTTTTAGTATAAGACAGATTAAACCCATTTGACATGGGTCATTGTTTCTGCCAACATTTCACTCCCCCTTTAGGTCTCAGGCTTGAGATGTGACTAATACAAACCCATTATGATATTTCTTGATCAAAGATCTCTTCCAATCATCCTTCTTTAGACTTTATAGACAGTGCCTTGCAGAATGCTTGCCTTAAGATCTTTATATAACATTCTTAGAAAATGAAAGCCTGTAATACTTTTTTCTACTATCCTTTTGTCCTGAATTCTGTGTGAAGAAATAATGTTATTTTTTCATTGTACATAGGATTTCTGAATCTGTAGTATACCATTTTATTTTGTTTAAATATGTATCTAAAAATACAGGGTTTGTGTTACATTTTTTTCCTACTTCTAAGTAATTCTCTGAAAAATTAAATTTCTAATAGCAGTTTCTTTTCTGGCCTACTCCAATAAACAGGGTTTAATTGCATAGTTATCCATGTTGGTTTTCCAGTAGTAGAACTTTTTCTGATGTAAGATAATAGAAACTGTGTCTGTAGCTTTTGATATTTATAATCAGTTTTGCCAAACTTCCTTTTTAATGATAATGTGTATGATTAGTATTTAAAAAAATATTGATGCAGAACATTCTCTTAAGTTTTTAAAACTTAAATGTTTTTAAGTTTTAAAGTTCTCCACATGCTCTCTGTTTAAGCCTGCATGAATAATATCCTACCCAAGTGTTTAGTCCTGAAACAAAATGTGTATTGGTAGAGAATAGGAGCCAAAATTTCTGATAGTTAAACGTCAAGAAGTTACCTGCTCCTACCAGGTATTTCAACATAAAGGAATTTGAAATGTTGAACAGGGTGTTTTTCTGCCCGCTTTGGAGCTTTGTTTTGTACATATGTTGTATTGAAACTTTGCTAATGTGTGAAGCTACTGTGTTAAGTCATTTGTTTCAAGTCGACATTTAGTGTTAGCAAACAATCTGATCACCTCTCTATTTTGAGAGATAAATTATGGAACATATTAACATTTGTCACCATTTTTCTGATTATTTTTCTTGTTGCAATTGTTCATGCTGTATAGTTCCTGTGAATAAAATCTAATGAACATAACAGATGATGCTCATTAAAAACTAATGTGCTGGCAAAGCTGGAAAAGTAAACACTTCTGATGACCTCTAAAGTCAATCTAAAATATTCAGTGAGGACTCCATCCTGCCATATAGGAGACTAATACTATTCGTATTGAAGTGTTATTTTCTTTAGAAACCCTACAATTTGATTTTCGTTGAAAGACATTTTCCATTCTCACTTAGTGTTTCCAAAATTATACGTGTTCGTTAAACTTTCTGAAGAATTTGTTTTATTTGTATGTTTGCATTTTAGCCATGTATTTAACCTTACGAGATTTTAGAAGATCCCTTAGTTAAAGTGTCTGAAATGTTATACTGCTTTTGGACTGTACATGCTTAAATCAGCCTCTCTAGGGATTGGATAAAACTTCTGTCAGGGAGACTAGCACAGGATTGGAACTGCTTTTGAAGTAAAGGTCTATCTGGGATTTTGGCAGGCTTAGTTGGGGAGAAACGGGAGCAATTTTACCATTTGTCTCGTTTTTTTTTGTTTGGTTGGGGTTTTCTGTTGGTTTTGTTTTGTTTTTAAAGTTCAGGCTTGTAAGAAGGGTGGACTGTGGAATTGTTAAAAAACTCTTTTGTAGGCAAAAGGCCGTGGGACATGAATTATCCTGTTATTGTTTGTGACGTTTAAGAGTTAAAAGCCAGAAAGAATAATGTATATTTTTTTAATTATTTAGGCAATTAAATTGGAATACACGCGTTTGCTAAAATTAGCCCAGGAAGATCCACCACCTGAATGTGATTACCGTTTGCGTCATGCAATTGTTTACTTCATCCAAAACCAGGCACCAAAGAAGATAATTGAGAGAACATTACTGGAACAGTTTGGAGATCACAATCTTAGCTTTGATGAAAGGTAATAAGATCTGCATGTCTCACTTCCTGTGCTCGTGAACATTCTCTGTGTGGAGACACCCCTTCATGTTCAGATAGTGCGTGTAATAGAGGGAAGGCTAGTGTGTTTGTTTGGCTTTATCTTCTAGTTAATATCTTGCAAGTATATTTTTTAAAAAATATCATCTTTATAAAAATCTCTAGAAAAGAGTAAACAAGAAGTTGGTTTTCTGTTGTTATGAAATAAGGAGAAATACTCAATGTTGTTCATAATTTTGCACATAGATTTCTGTACCTTCTTTCAAAACACTGTGTAAGGCTGTGTAATTTGCATTTCTTCACTACCCTGAAAGCCTGTAGTAGACAGCAAAGCCTTACAAGCTAGATAGGCAACTTACTTGAAAGAGAGACAGTGTCTCTTTTCCACTCGAATTTCCATATATTTACTTATTTAAAGAAATAAATAAATTGAAAAGTAGAGAACATTAGTCCGATTTTTGTGTAGTGAATAATCCTTTAGTGTTACTTTTGCAAAGTAAGTATTGGGGAGTTTCAAGCCATCTGAACTTCAAATTAAAAAGAAAGACTGAGCAATGTGGCAATTCAGCAAAATAAAACAAGAAATAATTCTTAAATAGTACAGGCCTCCATCACACATCCTTCAGAAGTATGTATGCCCTCTCCCACTGATTATACCATGCATAATAAACCCCACATTTTCCACAGTGTTTTTATACTGTTTTTATACATTGCATAGCTTATATTGGTTGAGGCTGCTGTCTTTGCATGGATAATACCCTTTGTGAATGTCCAGTAATATTCCATGATTTCTTGTTGATTTTTGTAAGGTGCCGTAACATAATGAAGGTTGCTCAAGCTAAACTTGAAATGATAAAGCCAGATGAAGTAAACATGGAGGAATATGAGGTCAGTAATTTTTATGCTTTAAATTAAATTGTGGTGTGAAATAGTTATCAGTAAGCTGAATTTTTTCACAATTTTCTTCTTGACCTACACTGAGAAGTTAAAACTGGTTATTGAAAGACCATTTATTTGTAGGAAGGCTGCTCTGATCAGTTGATACAAGGTTTTTTCCACATCTGTAATTCCAGTGATTTGAGCCATAAATTAATGTCAGGTTTGGGTCTTGTCCTTACTACTTAACGTGTCTCGATGTCACTAACAGTATTTTGTAATTGATCACTGTATGAGCCAACTGGCTTTCTCTAGTCCTACAGCTAGCAGTGAAGGAGGGAGTGTGGTCTAAGCCCAGCCTTGCTCATCTGGAGAAACTGGGTCACAGGCACGGTCACATTTGTGCTTTTCCTCCAGCTGTCTCTGCAGCCATTCCTGTTTTCTTACGAGCACCAGATTCTTTTGTTTGCATACGTAACCAGTTTATGCATTTAATTTTTCCTCCTGTGCTATTTAGAAAAACTTGGAAAGAAAAAAGAGCAAATCTCAGACATTAAATAATCGTGACTAATATTTGCCAAAATAATTCATCTCATATTTAAAGCTAAGTCTGTAGCTAGTTTTACAACATCAGTTTCAACTCCGCATGATACTGTTCATTAAGGCCTCTTAACAGTGGATATTTATGTCCTAGGCAGATTCCAGAGCACCACTTATGCCGCGTTGTGCTGTTAGGTCCAAACAGGGCTGTGGGAGTAATCTTTCCCTCAACAAACCAAATGAAAAATATTTAGTTGTCATTTCCCATTACTGGGTTCAGGACCTACAGTAGATGCTACTACATTAAATGTGCCGTCCCTAGCCTGTGAGCGGAAAGGACTCTTGCATTTTTTAGGCTGTACAAGGCTCAATATTTTAGCATTTTCTGAATGGTGTTGCGCAGGTAGAATAAACAATTCTGAACTCAGCTTTAAGAGTGAGGGAGTGGGGGTGCAGTTATGTGCCACTTTTTCAGTTCCTGAGGCAGATAGTTGGTGGTTTCTCCGAAGGTTGTATCAGTATTTCTCCTGTATAATGAGATGGCTTTTCATGGACCCTTTCTCATGCTCTTTGTGTTGAATCTGTAAGTGGCTATGTATTAGAGTATGCTGTCCCCTACTTTATCTTTAATGAGCAATTGAAAATTGGCTACTAACCAGCTGTAGTAAAAGCGCCTTTCTCACTTAGAGCATGTGAAGTGTACCGGTAGTCACTTTGTGTAAGTGGTGATGCAGTAAGATGAATGTTCTACTCCAATATAAACATCTCCCCAGTCTGAATTGCGTTTGGGTTTTTGATACTTCCCACATAAAGTGTTCAGGCTTTTTCTCTATGTCATTCTTATATTGAAAGTTAAGCTTAATATTTAGTGTATGAAAAAGCTTTCTAACGCTTTCTGAGTAAATAACTGAGTGTAATGTAGGGAAGAAAAAAACAGCTATTTTATCTTCTCAACTATTTTTGAGAAGAAAAAAGGGATCTCTGTGTTCTCCAAGGATGCTTTGTGTTCCGTTCAAATAGTCATACATTCTGTAAAAATAATCGTATTTAGAAATATTGTAGTTATTTAAGAATTTTCTTTTTGTTGAGGGAGGGTGGATTCAGGTGGACTTTTCACACATGCAATCTTACTAGGGTCCTTAGCACTTAACTGAGATTATTCAGCACTAAGTAAAGTGTGTGTGTTTAAAAAAAAAAAAAAAAAGTATTTTATGTTTGTGGATGAAATTCTATATACCCTTTCTTATATGCAGAGATGGCATCAAGACTATAGACATTTCAGGGAAACAACCATGTTTCTCATGGTAGGATTGGAATTTTTCCAAAAAAAGAGGTAAGTGGTAGTATAGAACTCAAATGTAATAGAGTGATTGAAGGCAAAATGTAATATTGATAAGTAAAGCTATTTTTTAAATTAAGGGTTGTTTAATGTGTTATTCATTTTAGTTAAGTATTTATTTGGTCCATTAATGTCTTGTATTTACCTCAAAGTTTTCTGCAACTTCCCTTTCTTAATCTCCATTTCCAGTCTCTTACCAAGCCATGGACTCTTTTCAGAGCACCCTGCACGTGCACCCATATTCCTCCACCTGTCCTACTCTAAGTGCTCTGCATATCCCTCAGCCATAAAAATCCTTCCTCTCTGGCACCACATGTGCACATACATTTATTTGCTTTCATCAGCAATCATAATTAGTCAAGTCCACATCTTATCTGTCTTTTTATTGGGTCTTCCTACAGAAGAAAAGTTTTGCCTTCTGCATTTTCCTGACCCAAAATTCCACCTGTGATGGGCTTTAAAGGTCAGGAAAAAAGAACATATTTGAGGAAAACTATCATTAATAACGTATCATAGTTGTAGCTTCTTAACTCCATGAGGCAATGGTGATTCATTCCCTTCTGTTTTTGAACCAAGTCAGGAATCATGGGTATATAAAATTGGTGACATTTATGTACTTAATGCACTACAGCTACACATTTATTCTGTGATCTACATGTGCAACAAGGATGGTGACTATAGTATAAATGCGTCAAAACATTCTGCAGAAATCTTTGAAACAGAATTATTTAACTGTACCTCTCCCTCCCATGTCCAGCCAAAGGAATGAAATGATTACCTGCTAAATATCCAGTGGCTGGCATCTGTGGTGTGAAAACAATTCTGCAGTCAATCACTTATTTTTCATGTATAACACAGTAGGTAGGGAAACTATAGTCAGGATCAAACTTAATTTTTTGTCTGTGTTGTGTAGTAAATAGGTTAATATTTCTCTTACATGTCTTGTATGCTCCCCCCCCCCCAAAAAAAAAAAAGAAAGGAAAAATTATTGGAAAAGACACTGCCTTGTCTTGGTGTTAGCTGCTGTACAAAGACTTAGCTTGTCACAATGAGCCCATAGTCTTGATTTGTCTTCTGGTTGCTAGCATGTAATAAATGGTGCAGTCATTAATAATTCAAATTGCAATGGGCTACTTTGTCAGTCTTAAACCGCTTATGTACAGAGGTTGGTCAGAAGATTGCTTGGTTTATTTTTGGTATTGCTTGATCCCTTAAGGAGGCAAAAATGTCATGGGCATTGGTGTGGTATATAGGAAGCCTCCTTGTTACCCCCGGATTTCATGTGCACTCTAAGCATGCAGGCAGGAATGGAAAATTTTCAAGTTCCTTGGCACTGGGACTCCAGGATGGCACCTTCAACTCTAAAACACCAGTGTTTTCACTAATTACTTCTTACCATAATTTATTCTAATTGTGCAAGGGGGAGGGAGGGAAGCACAGATTTCTGCTCTGTGCTGAACAGCAGTTTTGGTATCATTTTCCGTAATTTACGTTAATTTGCAGAATTAGGGTGAGGCATTTGTTACCAAACATCTTCGTAATTTAGAAAACGAGCCTATAATGACCAGTCTTAGACTCTGATATTGGTCAGAAATAAAAAAATAAGACATTATCAGACTCATCTAACCTTCAAGGAAGTGTAGCATTCATTCCCTTTTGCAAGAAATGCAATTTCATAAATGCTTCAAGAGCTGTTCAGTACAAAGACAGTAAAACTAGAGTTAAGTGTGCTTAGAGGATGGGTGAGGATCTGAGTATCCGTTGACCTGCTCTAAAGGTGACTGTTGTAATTATGCACCCATGTTTCAGCTACAGGTTCCCAAAGGACTGAGATGTTTACTGAGGTTTGCATCTCGTACACTCTAGAGGGCAGTACTATCATCCTTATTCTGAAAACGAGACTAAGTTGATAAATGCTTCCAATTCCCTTATTAACACTGAAATAATAAAAACATAACTTTAAAAATATTTAATAAAATGTAGACTCTCATAATTGAAATGTAACCTTCAGTAGCAGGACTGTTTGGAGGCTTTTTTCAGAAACCCTTCTCCCTCAGTTGACCAACTTTTTGTAGATTTAATAACACTAATTGATACCTAGCAGTGCTCAATCTCTAGATGGAGCCAAAAATCACACTTTATCCAGATGGTCTCTGATTTCCTTAAATAATTGTACTGTGTTGAACAAACACAAAATCAACGTTAAAGTAGTAGTATCTTTTTCATGCCTACTTTCAGTGTTCACTCATGATGCCTTACGGTGGTTGACATGGCCCTCTTTCCACTGCAGGTGGAGAATTCAAGTGTCTTTCAGGCATATCTTCCCTGACTGTACTATAGAGTAGGGACCTGCTATGGGTGAGATGAACGCAGCCAGCTAATGAACCTCAGCAGGAGTTTTACCTGCTGCTCACTCTTACGGTAGTGACTGAAAAGTGAACAAACTGTAGAGCTTAGCAGTTGCCTTTTAAATTTCTTGGAAAGCCGATGCAGTTTTTCAGTTTTGACTGAAAGGCCTTTTTCAAAGCGGTGCTAAAATTTAGCCAACCTGTGCTTTCTGCATCTTTTCCAAAGCCTAGACCTAGTGAGCTCCATCATTCTGTGAGCAGCTTCAGTGATTTTTAGCTTAAGCTTCATAGCCTGGAGCTCATACACCCTTCAGGTGTGAAAAGGCAGAATCTGTTTGCTAATTTACACTGTAGTCATATTCCTCAGTCTCTCGAGATATATAAGGACTCCGAGCTTGGATATACAGTAGTGATCATTTAAAATACCTTACGTTGCTGTTAGGTGGCCCTGCAGTTGTTTCAGGGAGAGGTCACAATACCGAGGGAAGGAGCAGGAAGAGAGGGACTGGGAACCAGCAGCAAGTTTTTAATTCAGATCACAAATAACTGAACTAAGAATGGAAGGGGAGAGAAGCTCCTTCTTCTGGCTTTATATCCAGCAATTCTAGTTCCTTGCAATTGTCTTCTCCCCTTTCCTCCTACATTACGTTTTCTGCTGTCTGGTCAGTTGTGCTGGTGATCAGTGATGTGAAGAGTTTTCATGGGCAGGAGAAATGGACTTGAGGACAGGGTGATAGGACTTGTTCTTTTAATGAAAGCATAGCTTTGTATTTTGAGGACAAAATGGTGGGGAACAGTGACTGTAGTTGTAATTATTAATTACTTAATAAATATTTGGAATTGCAAGGGACTATGAGCGGATCTTATGGTAGAAGATATAACTGTGTAGTAGATTCTGAAATTGTGGTCTTGGGCTTCATCTTGTTCTAAACAGGGGTATTAGAAGGTAAAGCTTTAAGCAACCATTGCTATTTCAAGTAGCGTTTTCCATTCTTATTATGTCTTCTCATTGGGAGGCATTACTGTAAGTCTTGAGTTTGTCTACTTCAGAATATTCTGACACGTATTTTTCAAGTATGCCCTCTACGTGCTCACACATAATTTTTAGCCATTTTTAGTATTTTGGTGGTTTGGTTTTTGTAGTTTAAACCTTAGCCATGACTTCCTGTCACTAGGTATGAGTCAGTCAGTGAATGCACAATATACTGTTCCTCTAACACTCCATTAGGAAATTTCTTTTCCTAGATATTTTTAGTTTGAATAAATATGAGATTTCTAACTGATTGTTTTTAGGCTAGCTGCCTGAACTGCTTTCGGTGGCTGTCTGTCATAACTGAGTTTCTGTAAGTCAGAGAATTAACAATTTAAGATATTTTCTGGAAACGGTATGCAGCAGTATAAGGGGAGATTGTTACTCTGTGCTTGAAGGGGTGTCTGCTGATTATTAACTGTTAGGTGCTTAGGTCCTCTGTTACTTCTCCTTTACCGATTGGGCATGTATTTTATTTTCTGCATTTAGATTAAAGACAGAAATATCAATGCTTCTGCTTTTGAAATGCTGTTGTAGCTTCTTCCATTGCTGTAGACATCAGTAGCTTGAAAGAACTTACAGTTAGTGAGGCTAAAAATTCACGGTTTATTTTTTTGAAATAAGGTGACAGCTTTAAATCTTATTTGCTAAGGTGTAGAATGCTATCAAAATACATATGGCAACAGAGGATCAAACCAAACATAAATGCAGGCAGGAAAAATTAAGTTTTCATATACACTCAAGGCTAATCCAAAGTGATTTTTGAAGTGAGTGAAATGATATCCATTGGTTTCAGTGAGCTTTGGATCAGACTTCATGTGCGAGTGATCTAACCTAATAATAAAATAAATTGTTCTAATGTGCATGAAAGATGAAATTGTGTGGTAGAAAAAACACCATTATGAAGAGATTGGTGGGGAGGGGTGGACTTACAGTCAAACAAGCAAGTGAATTTACCTGTCCTTTGAAGAGCACAGTAGTTACCTTGAAACAGGTGGTACCTGGATGTTACATCTAATGTTTTTGTTTCTTTACTTCAGCTATATGGAAGCCTTGCTCTACCTTATCTATGCTTACCAGAATAACAAAGAACTCTTGTCCAAAGGCCCGTACAGAGGGCATGACGAAGAGCTGATATCTCACTACAGACGAGAATGTTTGCTAGTAAGTGAAGGGTGAAATATGCTTTGAGAAGTTGAACTTGCTGCATAGCTTTAACAAAATTAATTAGCAGAAAAGTGTTGCCATCGTGTAAAACAAAACCAAAGCCAACCAAAAGCCCCTTTCATTAACAAGTTAAACTTGGGTAAGGAAAAAAAGCAAAAGTAAGAAGGAAAATGTTATTCCCATTTTTTTGAATAATCAGTCATTATCTTTATGATTGTAAATAGTGTACTCACTGCAGTCATGTCTCGGCTAGGTAGGAACAAGAGTTTGACAGAGTTGGTGAGCAGACTTACCCTGTTGCCATGGTTTGACAGGAAGGCAAATATTGGAAGAGGCATCAACAGGAAACGAGGTTGTTTTTTTTCCTTGATTGTGTCACTTTTAGCAATAGTGAGAAAACAGAAACAGGTGATAGGACCCCTCAGTCTTAAAAAGAACAGCTGCAAAGCTTGAGTTGGCAGGTATCAAATGAAGTGGCTTGAGGAATAGCACAAGATCCAGTGGTTTAATCAAATATATGCATCATTGCTGTAAATGTTAAAGTGCAACTGTGGTTAATACAAATTACCAGGTAGCTTTGTAGGAAGACTGTGCTTTAAAACATGCAGAAACTGATGTGTGGTAGAATGTGAAATGCTGTGTACTTAAAGGCTTTCCTTTTTTGTGGTGGTTTATGAAGAAACTAAATGAACATGCTGCAGCACTGTTTGAATCAGGAGATGATCAGGAAGTAAATAATGGCCTGATCATTATGAATGAGCTTATTGTCCCGTGTTTGCCATTACTACTGGTGGATGAAATGGAAGAAAAAGATATTGTTGCTGTGGAAGATATGAGAAACCGTTGGTGTTCCTATCTTGGACAAGAAATGGAACGTAAGTCATTTATTCATTAAGGTAAAAGGCCCTTGTGCACCTTTTTTGTAAGTGTGGTGTTTCAATGTCTTGAATTGAGCCTAAATCTTTCGTGCTTTGCTAGTGTATTTTGAGCTACCCTGAGTATTGAACGTTCCCGTACACATTTAAAGAAACAGTTTTCCATATATTGCACTGGGGTATTAGGCCTTAAAGGAAACATGCTTTTTGAATGGAAAAACATTTGTGGTGTTAGACCATCTGACAGAGCATTTATATTAACGTCTTACTAGGAATTGGTATGTCCTAGTTATTACTGGCAGACCTGAAGAAAGCGGATTATTTCAAGTGAAATTCCTCCTCTTCCTACCCACCAATAGAAATAAAAAAAAAAAAAGTCAGTGTTGGGCAGAAAAAGGAGGATTCCACGTGCAGACGTAAATGCTTATGTTTGTTGTTCTTGTTTTATTTGCAGCTAACTTGCAAGAAAAGCTGACAGATTTCCTGCCAAAACTGCTAGATTGTTCTACAGAGATTAAAGGTTTCAATGACCCGCCAAAGTTACCCTCCTACTCCACACATGAACTGTGTGAAAGATACGCCCGAATCATGTTGTCACTCAGTCGAACTCCAGCCGATGGAAGATAAATTCTGCAACCTTCCTAAGCACATTGTATAAACTTTTTTAGTTCTTAAACCTTGCCTTCCTGTCACAGGGTTTGCTTGTTGCTGCTATAGTTTTTAACTTTTTTATTTTAATAACAGCAAAAGAGAAATGACTGTACAAACTTTAGCCAGACTGCAAACAATTAAAGCTGAGAATCGCATGGCGCTCAGTCGTTTCAACCAGAATTGATGCAACATGCAAGTCTGATCATTATGGCAAAACTGCTTTTTTGCCACTTATCTGTTACAGTATTACTTTGCTTTTATCTTAAGATCCTTTACTTTATCAACAGCTGTCTGGATCATTTTGTGACTGCAACTACTTTAAGTGTCCAGTGCTGTGTAAATACATGGTACTTGGTAGCTTGTAAATGAAATGAAAGAATAAAGTTTTATTTATGGCTACTTCTGTGTTTGCAAGCAGATACCTTGTATATTAGTGTAAAATACGGGTATTTTTAGAAGAGATACAGTATATTGATGGGTTACTCAATTTTATAGACAAGGTTCTTCAGGATTTGTGGCCACTTTAGTTACAGGTAGTCGGAGATTACTGTATGTGAATATATTGAAAATCTGTCACAGTATTATACACTGTTTTTTTTGTATATTCTTTGCTGATCTGTATGATACTGCACCTCAACACTTTTGTGTGTGTGTGGCCATGCCAAGTCTTTTCTGATAGCAGGGATTGGCTTTTGAAGCAAAACAATAATGGCACCTTCCTTCTATTCTTAGAAAAAAAAAATAGAAAAAAAAAGTGAAAGTATTTTCAGTAGAAATACATTACACCCTCTGAGCAAAATTTCTAGAAATTGATTTAATTAGAGAAAATAAAGGTTTTTAAAAAACGAAATTTGTGAAGCTTAAGAATTAATCAATTTTTTTTAATTGGTGTATTAGTCATCTAAGTGACCAGAAATAAAACCTTACATTAATTCCTTACTCGAAGTGGGTTGCTATTGTTGCAACGAAATATCTCAGAAATCTTTTATCTGTCCTAATTAAATTTCTGTTGGAAGTTAAAGAAAAGATCTATAGGGCTTGTTTTGTAGAACTGAAATACTGTCTGGTTTTAATGAAGAAACTTAATTATTTTGTGGAAAAAGAAATTTAACGCGTCCTTAGGTAATCCTGTTACCTGACACTATTTTGATTCCTACTCTTTATAGAGAACGTTTTGTGTTAGAACAGTAAAATATGTGAATATTTGTTTGTATGTTTTTATTGGAGCGACACTCAACTTTTCATTGCAGGCTTTCCAGTGGTGTTTATTTGAACATCTACTAATAAAAGAACACAGCGGGAGGGAAGGAGTGATTAAGTTCAGACCACCTAGAAACACAGTGGGCGTAAATGTAGGCATCTTGTGTGCAAGAAGAGGCAGAGTTCAACCTTAGTATGTATCGGTTTTGAAAGTTATTCGCTCTTGAGAGATGCTGGGTCACCATACACAGTGAATAGAGTGTGGCCTTAAGTTCAAAATCTTTTCAGGGATGTCTTCCTGTTCTGTTTTCAGTATTGGAGTGCTTCATACTTTGTCAAACTATCCATTTATTTTATCAAAATTTTTTTAAAAAAGAATATTGAACTCTTACAAGTGCAGTGCTACTCAGGAGCCTTTTTTCAGGTCTGAAACTATTGATGTGTGAAATACCACTTTTCAAGGAAAAAGGCATATTATGAAAAGAGTGAAGATACATTTTAAAAGGTTTCACGTTTTGTATCTGTTGCACTTGGAAACTCAAGAATATGCCTACTTAGCACTGTGTATTTTGAAACAAGGTTTTGAACAGATTAGACTTCTTGTTTGCCTTTTTCAATAACGGTAAAACCAATTAAAAGTGAAAGAGCAATTTTATTTCTTTATTGCTAATAGGTTTTGAATTTGAATGTTTGTGAAAATTTTTAAGGAAAGCTCCCCTCTAACCCTGAAGGAGCCAATTATCCTCATCATCTGTGTAATCTTCCATGACAAACACGGGGGGAAAAGACATTCTTTCTAAGGTAAAAAGACAAAGAAAGTATTTAATTTGGGAAGAGTATCGTAAGGCATTTAAATTAAAAGGAAGCAAACAAGGACGGGATTATTTGTTCTTTTTGTTTCAGTTTTTTTCAGTTTCTTAAAATATTAAAATAATCCACTGTAGTTCACAGTACTAAAGAAAAATAGGTATTCATTTGCAATGACTTGAATTTTTGAGTTGAATTGAGACAGTTTGTTTAGTAGAACAGAAATAAATATATGTATTTTACTATTTTAATATCTTTTAAATATTGTGTATGAATTTAAACCTTCAGTTAAATCATTAAGATTTACTGCAGTCAGATAGCTGATAGCTTGGATTCATGGTGCCTAGCACAAAACCTATGCAACAAACTGTGTAAGGTGGTAAAGCATACAGTTCATTTGGCTACCTAATAATCTGTGACTGAATTACGTAAGTAGATACTTCTCTTCAGTATGGGAATAATGAGATTTTTATTGGATTTTTTTTCAGTTTATGGAATACAAAAAGATTAAGGGGATTTAACCCAAATTCATTTACTAAATCACCTGCACCATCAAGTAGATGCAAGAGTGGTTTTTTTCCCAGATGTTGCTTCGTACTGTGGAGGACCCTGAAGGCATCGCAGTCTTTCAGTTATGTGCCTCCCTGCTCTGTGCACTGCCCACACTCACCCGCCGCCCCCGACATGTGTCTTCTTATTAGCTGACCTATTGTATTGCTGCACTTTAACTGATATTTTGGTAGTATCAAAAATCGTGTTGCTTCTAGTTAAAGCTGCCATAGCAGATCTGTTAGTTCCAGCCTTGCAGAAGACCATGAGCAGCAGCAGAGTTAATCTGAACAAATGAAGGGGATTGATGGAGTCAGTTTGTGCTTCTTAGATGTGGTGATATCTGAAATCACACCAGACACAAGGGGGTAGACTAGACCTTCATTATTGAGTCACTGTTGCTTTGTGGATGATCTGTACTTTTAACTGCAGTGAATGACTTGATGCAGTGAACAGACTTGCTCTAGAAAACATGAAGTATGAGCATAGTCAGAAGCATATGCTTCATTTTCAGGCATTAAAAAAAAAATACAGACATTATCAGTTTGTTTGGGTTTAAATATCTTTCAGATTATTTTTAGGTGACTCCAGTATGCATGTGAAGACTGCAGCTCCAGAAAGGTACTCGACATAACCAGTGGCACACGTGAAACAGTCTGATACTGTCCAACAAATGTGAAGGTCCATAAAGAGAGACAACGGTGGTGGTTTATGTTCTTAATTTTGTGCTGTTTTCTCATAATCCAGTGAGTCCAAATGTCTGTGGCAGGCCTTAGATAAATACAAGTTAAGAATGTTGATGAAAAAATACAGCAGGCTTAAGTATATAATAAATGACCTCACCCATGCGGTATTTTCCAACATAAATATGTACCTTAATATTTTAAAAAACATATTCTGGTTTTGTGTCTAGAAGGATGCAAGAAGAATGGGTATCATTGAGAGGGAAGTGGTTGCATCTCTCCATTACTTGCTTCTGGAGAGGATATGAATATGAATATAAAAAAAAGTCTTTTAGCAAAATGCAGTAGGTAAAATTCAAAACGGGAGCGATTCTTTCAAGTGGAATAGAATTATTTTTCATGTGATTTGATATCCAGTTTTCCTTTGCATATTGTATTCTTGAAGATCTTTTTAAATCCTGGGCTTGATGGGTAAGCTATTAACTGAAAATGCTCTCAGTTCCTGAGGACGATCTTCCTTTGTAGGCACACTAACAGTATCGGTGTTTCCCTAGTTGAGTTTCCATCAGCACAACATTCCGGCCTAGTTCAGCCATTCTGTTTCAGTTTTGATCCTTACGGGAGTGAAGCCGCGAAACTTTTGCAGGCATCTGTATTTCTTATAGCTCCAGCCACCGCTGTCGTACACACATGTGCTCCAGCTTTTGTTGTCATACCCCTAAAACCTTGGACTTGGCTGAGTTTTTCTTCACTATGAATTTCAGATCTTCAACTGTAAGTAGCAGGAAGAGACTGTCACTTCCCAGAAACAAGCTTCTTGAGGCAGTACTTTGAAAGAACAGCTTGACTTGCTTTCATTCACTCTTTTATTTCCTCCTTGCTCTGTTGTTCCCCATTTAAGTGACTCAAGTATCCACTTTTTAGGCTTTCTAGTTTGTTTAGTTTTTGCTTCACTGTCTAACCACCGTGTCTTCGCTACCAGCTAGTGAAATGGAACCAGGATTCTTCTGCTTCCATCTGATTAGCGTGGGCTCCAGTTTTCATCTCTACAGGCTCCTGAGTGCTTTTCTTGGAACCGATCTTGTGCAGGATCCGTGGGTCAAATAACAGTGTCCACTCACATGCTGTCTGGCAACTCAGCATTTGAGAGCCTGAAATAGGAAAGCTATGGGTCGTTAGTTCAAGCTGCAAACTTCTGTATAGTCTCTTGGCGCATTAAAAAAAAAAAAAAAGAGTTATTAATTTGTTAGAGACTGACTGAGCTGGGCACTTTGGAAGCATGAAGCGTGACTCATGCGCTGTATCTCGGCACTATCTATCTAGGTTTATGAAGTCTGTAGAAGCTATTTCTGATGTTGAATAATCTTCACTTAAGTTTACCCTGATCCTTACGCTTTGTCTTGAATTATTGAAGCTGCAGTCAAATGTAGATTTTGGCAAAAAGCAGCTATGTCTTGCTGTGCTGGTTTAAGCTGGTATCTGTGCAGTTTGTCCCCCTATCTGTGTTCTGTATCTAGGTATTTCCTATCACTTTGTGGGACTGTATCTTCTTTGTTATCTGTGTTAAAATTTCTCTGAACCGATTTGTATTTCACCGACTTGCAGGCAACAGGGAGAGAGCAATAATTCCTGTAGATTTCCTTCAAGAAACAAAACTTGTATTTTGTCTGTGACCTTAATCTGTAACAGTGAAACTTTTAATTGAGCTGTGGACTAAGGACTTGGAAAACCTGGGGGAGTTTGAGGAGGGATTGCTTTTTTTTATTATAGGTAATACCAAATCATAAGGTGGAGGGAATTACTACGTAAACATAGTAAACTTTTATATGGATTAGGAAAAGCCCATTTTTTTCAAGTAAGAAATTTTAAGCAAAAAAAGTCAGTGTTAAGTAATGCAATTTGAAGAAAACCTCATGCCTTCTGAGAGGGAGGAGGTTGGAGTGTTAGGCTTTTGAGAGGAACCTTGATCTGGGGAACTGAAAATCTGGTAACTTTTAATAGCTCAAGGCAATACATTCTTGTAATCTGCTCATGAAGCTCTTTTATTTGGAAAGATTCTGTAAGTTTTGCATCTCATGAAGCAGATTCTTTAAAAAACAAAACAAAAAACCCCAGCCAAAAACCCCTCCCCACAAAATCAAACAACAAAACCAGCATTCC